CATAGGCAAACATCCCGGCCCGGGAACCTTAAAAAAATACGAACCCATTTTTACCTTGGTGAGATTAGCAACGACACCTTCGACACCTTTCATCCCGGTCTATGCAGGGACCGCCTGGAGCGTTTGTTCGGCATCGGCAGCCTTGAACCTTTCGAACGACCAAGCGACTGCTTTCCAGCATGGTTGGCAGACGGAGAATGTTGTCTTTCAACGGCTACATCAAAGACACCAGTACATCCTCAAGTCCGACACCTCATCCGCGCTTGTTCTTCTTGCTCCGCCGGAGCTGGGCGCCGACCAAGGGGTAAAGGCGGTGCCCTCAACCCTGCCTTGGCGAAATTCACGGACCGAGCCAGAAGCCCAGTGGTCGTGGTCGCGGTTGTAGTAGGTAGTAAGTAAGTAAGTGCGGAAAGGTCCCGCCGTCTGCACTGTTCTGAGAACCATCGCCTTGGCGGGTCTGGTTGGTGAAACGCGATGCATGGTGGTGAGCGAGACGCTGGCCGTGAAGGTGGCATTGCTCCGTGTGGAGTCGAAGGGAGATGGAGAGGACTTTTCGTGACAGGCGCAAGGGATCGGAGCAGATCCCTGAGTCTGCCCTCTTATTGAACTTAGATTTTGGATTGATTTAATGTAATTGATTCATTTACATTGATTTTCAAGTACTAAGCTAAAGTACATTTGTGGAAAGCAATAAAAACATGTAGTTTTTAACAAAGCCATGTAGTTTTGCATGGTCTATTTCTGAGCTATTCTCAAAGCAAGGCTACTTACATGTTTCCCCATCATTTAATGACATGAAACAGACATCCGTACCACCTTTTGAACTTGTAACAATCAAATTCCATAGCACAAGTAAAGGTTTCAGGCACTCTGCACCTGAATCTCCAGACTCAAAAGCAACTTGACACTAGATGCTGATAAGCCACGAAACTAGTGCAAACATATCTCCAATCACATTCAATCTTCTAAAAAGGTGCACTCCCACAGCCTGCCACTCTCATTATATACATCTTTGTACTTGCGAAATTCCACTTGTGCCTTTACTTGCGCTCTGGCCCTCTTGTGATGGCAGAGATAGGTTTTTAAAATGATCATTTCCTTTTATATGTCATTTTCCATATTATGATTCCCGTTCATTTTCCTTTTAATTTGAACAATTCCTTTCATTTCCATTTTAAACCTGCAGTTTGTAATTTCCTTTAGTTTTCCTTTCAAATATGATTAATAGTTTTCATTGTCCCTTTCAAGCTGCTTTATATCTTTATTTTGTTCTTAAAGATGATTATTTCATGTGCGTTGCCTTTTAAAACTGATCTATTCCTTTCATTCATCCTTTGCAAGTCATTAATTCCTTTTAATTAAAAAATAGTTTCGTTGTATATTTCATTTTTCTGTTTTGATTCCCTTTCATTTCCCCTGTTAAATTGAACAGTTCCTTTCATGCTCACTTTAAATTTGATCATCCTTCTGTATTAAAAAAGAAATTCTCATTGCTAAAGGGAAATGAAAGGAATTAATCATTTCCAAAAGGCAAATAATGAAAATAAGAAAAATAAAGAACATAGAATAATAAATATCTGTTTAAAGAGAAAAATGAAAGGAATTCATCCTTATTACTTATTAAAAGGAACTAGAAATCCAAAATATTCATCATTTCTACAAGGCAATAGACACCGAAATAATCATTGTTAAAGGGACAGTACAAGGAAATAGTCTTTTTTAAAACAGAAACTAATTTTTAAAAAGAACATAAAGGGAAATAGTGAAATTTAAAAGGACATTTCCAGCAACCAATCATTCTGAAAAGGAAATTAAAGGACACAGCTAAGGAAACAAATTGGACATATTAAACGGTTAGAGGAATCAACTTTTTAAAATGGAAAATCATCAATGCAAAAAAACATAAGCGTTTAAACAGAAAATAAATCAAAAATAGTGTCTTAATGAACAATAATCATGTTTAGAAGAGCAATGCAAATAAATAGTAATTCTTCAAAGGGAATTCAAAGAAATCAACATTTAAATAGAAGCTGGGTTGGTTCATGGCTGGGACCACCCCTCCAGAGAGTCTGGGAATATTGTTTTTTGTTCTTGATTTTTTGATGTTTTTGGCCTCCCTCATTCCAAGAGTCTGCAAATATTGCCTTGCCTGATACCAGGTTCAGGTGACCCAAATGATCATGCATATGGGAGTGCAGTTTATGTAGTAAAACCTAGGCCTATTGCTAGTGAAAAGAACATGAAAAGCTGCACTCCCAGGAGCTGGGGTTCTGTATATAGTAAAGTATGTGGAGCATGATTTCCCACAGCACAAGTAAAGAGAGAAGTGCAAATAAACTAAAAGAAAAGGTATCTTGCGCCTGATTCTGCTGAGCACAACTACAGGCACACATGCAATTTGACAAGAACAGAAAAAGAGCACTCTGATTTTCGCCTTGCAGCCACAAGAGGTGTCGCTCTTTCCAAGCAGCCTTGTTGGCCGCTTGCCAGTGCTTTGAACCATGCTCTGTATTTCCTGTCATTGAAAAATGATTCGGGACAAGGTACGATTATTATTCAAATTCGTAAATTTTGATTGAACCAACAATCACTTTCCTTGAGACACCATGTATTGTATTATGGGCGCCAACATTGGAAGAACTCTTAGACAGAGTATGGCTTTTTTCCAAATCGTATACGTTGACTGAAAGACACACGCATTTACTTGCGACACCATCTATTGGTCTCTGCGCGCCACTTCCTCAAGGCAGTGAATAGCGGTGTCTTTAGGCAAGCTCTGTTTCTTTTTCTCATGTGTACCATTGTGGGCGCCAGTTCCTGGAGGCAGTGGCATTGTTTAGTGGATGGCAGTTTCCACAAGTAGGCTGTGTTTCGTTCGTTTTTTCGAGCAGCATTTTTTGCCTTTGAGTCCCATGAGTTTCTGTGCACTCTATGACATCAGCCCGGCAAAGGTTTCTTAGATTTCTACACATGTTGTGAGCAAGACTGTCAGAACTATTCATGTTTGTAAAAATTTGGTCTACATTTAGCATGTTTTTTGAATATTCTTATGCACTTTTTTGCAGCTTACATGCAGTCTTAACAAATACATGTAAACGCTGCATGTAAACTGCATATAAGGGGCATGAAACTGCGAATACATCTTGTGAACAGCTCGCCTGCCAAGACTTCTACTTACTTGTGAGCAGGTGTTTTCCCAAGATTGCCATTTACTTGTGTACAACTCAAATGCCAAGACTGCTTTTTTCTTGTGACCAGTTCTTGTCAAGATGACCATTTACTTGTGAGCAGTTCTTGTCAAGATGACGATTTACATTTATCATTTTCTTGTCTCAAGATAGCAACCACGATAACCCCACAAGACCTCTCTCAAGTAAAAAGAGCTGCACCTGATCTCCAGTAAGAATCCTGCAACGCTTCTCAAGTAACTTGGTGGAAATGCCCCACGCTCCTCTCACCTCTCACAAATAAAACTTCTTCGAGTTTTCTCAAGTAAACACAGCAAACCAAGTGCTCCCACACCTGTTCTCAAGTAGATCCAACAACACCTCTCAAGTAAATCATCCCAGGCTCCTCTCAAGGCAGATGAGCTGTACCTGATCTCCGCAAGATATTGCGAAACTTCTCAAGTAAATTGGTTGTGACAAGCTCCTCTCTCAAGTAAGCCATTCTAACTTTTTCAAATATATACTGCAACACTTCTCAAGTAATTTGAGGTGATGCATGTGACAAAAGCGGTCTCAAGTAAAGAGCTTTGCCATCTCTCAAGAAAACATAGTTCCTGTGTTTTCCTTTCCCCACCTCACAACACCTAGCCACCAGTGCAAATATTTTTGGACAGCCAAAAGTTTACTTTGTCAACTAAATTTACTTTACTTTGAGAACACAAATTTTATTTTCTATTTATTGTAAAAATAGTAAATACTAGGTAAATTCAGTGGCTACAAAACTTAATACAAGAGCAGACTCAGGGTTTTACTTCAAGCTGCAGATTTCGTGGCAGGTGCAGCACCATGGACATGGTGGTGTCTTCGAGGCGTTCTGATTTTGTGACAGGTACAGTGAGTCGTGACTTTTGGACATGTGGCTCGTTTGCAGATTTCGTGGCAGGCGCAGTACTTTGTGTTGAAGTGCAGATTTCATGGCAGGCACAGCTTTTGTGAACCTCGAAGTGCAGCTTTCGAGGCAGGCGCAGCGCTTTGTACCGGCCAGAAAGAGGCTGTGTAAACAAAAGTTGGTCTCACTGGTCATATGAAACAATTCCCTTTCTTCAGAAGTTGAAGCTGAGACGGAGCAGCAACGACACTGCGGCTGACGAGGTGTGTGGGACGTGGAGACGCTGTGCCTGAAACCGGGGCAGCGGGCCCCGGAGCTCGGCGTGCCCGGCGTCTTGGACGCGGTGGCCGGTTTCTCGGAACCGTGGAGGGCAACAACAATGCGGGTGTCGTTGCTATCGGGACCCACAAGGCAGCGAACCTCTGCTGTGACTGGGAAGCCGTGGCCCACCATGCGGAGCAGGTGTGCCGGGGGAAAAGTCACCACAAAGCCGTCGAGCACGGACGCTCCGAGCAGGTGGCGGCGTGGCTGTGCGTGCATAGAAATCCATCAACTGCCCATGGAGCTGGGCAGGGTAGGACATCGAAAGTGTATACAGAGCATTTTCCCTTGTAACCTCCTGGGTGGCAGCTGCCTCCCTTTGTCTTATCCCACCCTTCCTCCTTTTCCTGCTGGGCTCAGCATTTTCCATTGGTAGGAGTGAAACTGAAAACAGTGGTTACTTGTATATTGAAAGCTCTTTGACCAAAAGATCTGCAGCATGTCAACAGCATCAAGAAAAAACCTGAAGTACAATGAAATGATCTTTTTTTGGTAGCGTGTACTCCTGGACACAAGTATTGATACTAATTTCAGATCTCAAGTATTGTAAGTTTTCTTCCAAAGCCTGTACTTACCGCCTGCAGGTTTGTCACCATCATTTCCATCCTTTAACCTTTTCCTTTGCTTTTGGTTTTGTGGCTTTCCCTGCAGGCTTTTTCAAGATTCCTGGGTGATCCAGGGCCACCATCTCCCTGCTGGCTACCGTGTTGATTGAGAAGGCTCCAAACCATTCTCAACCTCAGCAGGCGCACTTTGCTGGCCCATGATGCCACACTAGTACTATATGAACCACCTGCTTGTGATCCACAAAGCAGCTGTCAAGAAGCAAAGCTTCCTAAACCTATACCTGCACCTCAGTTTATCCAAGTGACATTTCCAATCACAAAGGGCACACGTACCAAAACACAAACAAACTCAAGCACATCACTCCTGGCAGGTAAAGAACAGGCAGGCTCAAGTAAAAGCCCTCAAGTACAATAATAAGTCAACGAGTCACAATGTAAGTCTCAATCTATGTTCGTGTAAAGCACAGGTAAGCTCAAGTACAGCGCCTGAAGTACAGTCACATGCCACACAAGCAAGCCCAAGTACAACTCCTCCAGTGCAATCACATGTCACACAAGCAAGCTCAAGTACAACTCCTCAAGTACATTCAACACCAAGGCAGGTCAACAAGATTTGATTTAAATGTTGATAGATTTTTGTGGATGTTTGATGAACAATCAGGTTTTTGATGAATTTTTGATGAACTTTTGATGAACTTTTAACTTTTAATGAACTTTGTAAGTAACTTTTGATGAACTTTTAATGAGCTTTTCAAAGTTCATCAATTATCATGAAATTAAAAGTTCATTAAAAAATCATGCATCCACAACCATGTTCTCCAATAACTTCCGATGACAATCAGTGACCATATCACTTTTGCAGCTCCACATGCGTTTTGTGCTGACGATTCGGAACTTCAGGTTTTTGAACAAAAATGTAAGTTCATGTAAGTTCTGAACCTTTTTGGAAGCAAAGTGGAACCACGGATGTTGTATAATGTTCTATCATGGTACAATGCTCAAGAATCTGAGATGAGGGGAGGGAGGGAGGGAGGGAGGCTCAAAGTTGAAGGCTCCGATGGGACTTCTAAAGGGTTTTTCAGACCAGTTTCAGACCACCCGAGAGGACAGGTTGGGGGCAGTCTTTTTGAAACAGATTTAGGCAAACTGAAGCTTTTGCTCTGCGTACGTATCATGGAAAGGGGTCATAGATGAAGTTTGTCATTAAGGGGTCGCGCTCTTTCTCTTTCTCTCTCTCTCTCTTTCTTTCTCTTTGTGGCAGGGCCCTTCAAATTAGAACTTAATACGTATTTAAAAGAAAACGTGTTTTTTGACACAAATAGAGTCTAGAAATAACTTATTTTCCGAAAAAATAGAGTCTACTTTCTTGTTTAAGAATATTTCTTAACACAGATAGAAGCCGTACTTAGTGGACCTTGAAGTGCAGATTTCATGGCAGCACAGCATGCACTTTGTGAACCTCAAAGTGCAGATTTCGCGGCAGGCGCAGCACCTTGTGACGTATTTTTGCTCTCTAACCCGCCCGACCTCTACACCTCTGTCTTCGGAGGGACACCGCTGGCGAGGGACACCGCTCGCGCAGCCGTGCTCCCGCTGCGGCGACGCAATGCCTCCTACACCTGCAGCGTTCGGACACTGTCCTCATGCAGCGACGCGTTTCCTACTGTGTGTCCTCATTTCACATCCTACATTTTCCACGACGAAACTAGCGAAGATTTCCTTTGTTCACACGCGTGATTTCATGTTTTGTGTTTTTGTGTTTTTTTTGTTTCGTGACCGCTCCCTCCGCCCGCCAATGAAGAGAAAATGGTCCGACATGTGCTGGTTTGTGTTGACAACTTTTCCGTGAATAGTTTAATCAACGCACTTAGCTACTAAAACTTCTGACCCCTTACTAACAGCTTGCTCTTTCCTCGGACACTTCATTGAAAATCTCCTCGCTCTTCCCCTCTGCTCCTCAACCTGCTTTGGTTTCCACTTCCTATTCCCCTGTGCTCTCAGGTGCTTTGCCTCCAACTACTTCTCCCTCTATTTCCTTCTCCCCGCAAATATAGTCGTTTCTTTCTCGAACTCGTCGTATGTGACCTCTACACTGTTTGGGGTCTCTTGCCGGGATAATTTTTGAGGTCCACCACCAGGGGAGCTGCATGAAAACCATGCAACGCGTTTGCCGCAAGCCACCGAAGCGAAGCCAACCGTGTCCCTCGAAGCGAAGCCATCGCTCCTCCCAGGTGCCGGATGCCATGCCCAAGGACATCTTGACCTCCGTCGAATTGGCCCGGAGCGCCCGGCGGGCGTTCCATCCGTGTGGGGGGATGGTGTTCAGCAGGGAGGTAGGTTGCTAGACGCATTTCGAATCTAATGAAAGAGCTTCTTGGGGCAGATAGAACTGCTAGGCACCCAAATCAAAAGTTGACATAAACTATTTAATTACAGAACGTATACATTGTATTTTTATTGTTATTATACATTTTGGTGCCTTGTTCCCGACATTGTTTTGTTTGGTGTGTCGACCGATGTCGACCGATACCTGCAACATCCGCTCTCCCTTTTGCCATCGTTGCAGCAATTTCGTTGGATCCATTTCACTCCTACATGGTTTGCAGAAGGGAACAAAAAAACAACACCTAAGACCTATATACCAGAAGCGCAGAAGAACCTAAACGCTCCATAGGACTGCCGATCAATTCAAGTGGTGCCAGGGCGCTCAATGTGGGCACATAGAAACCGGTCCCATGGAGTGTCTGGGACACCTAAGACCTATATACCAGAAGCGCTAGAGAAGAATGTTTGATTGAGGGCCAATTGAGGGTTTTCTATATCGGCAGTCGGACCGAAGACTGGACGGTCGCACTCGATGCACTCGATCCTGAACTCGCCGGCCTCGGCCGCTGTGGGTTCCACCAAGAGCCTAAGGGTCAGGCAGGACCCATGCAAGGTCCATGTTTGGAGATATACTACTGTTACTGAGTGTGTTACTGTGTTATATAGTGTATTGCAGGAGCATCCCATGGGGTGTTCTGGCGTTGGACTACCCCATACTATCCGGGATCTCCACACAGGACACCCAAACAGAATGCGCTATAGGCATTGCCCCATATTGCCCCCTTGTTTTGGGACCTGTCCAAAATGGTCCCAAAACCTGTCCAACATAGTTCCATACGCCGCCCATCCCTCAACGCGAAACATCGACCTCGTCTTCGTTCTTCGGGTACGACCACGGTTCGGTGCGGACCTTTTGGGGCTGTGCGGCGCACGATCCTTTTCAGGGATCGAAACGGCAAGTGACGGAGATCGTCGGCGAAAAGGTCATGGATTGGGCGAAGATGGAACTCGTGGAGATGGATCGAGCCGAAGGCCATCCCGGACGAGAGGGATCGTGTGTCCGTCAAGAAAGCGAGACGGACGAGACAGACCGACACGTTTTGTTTAAATGGGAATTGATCCGGAAAAACGTCGAGTGTAGAATCATCATCAGTCAATATCAGTCATAATCCTTAGGCTGATCTGTCAATATCAGTCATGAGTCATGATCCTATATAGAATCCTTACCTTATCTAAAACCAGGATCGTTTGGAAAAAGCACACCAAGAAACTTCGGAGGTTGGAAGCCTAGTGCGGGCTTGGGAGCCACCCGGGTTTGGTATTTGCCCATGTTCCACGTTTTTGAGGCTGGGACATGGGCATCCCAGAAAGAAAGAAGACCTGGCTTCCCAGCCACCCAAGATGTGGTCGATACAACCAACATCTGGACACCTGACAAATAGAAATACTATGAAACACTCCCGTGGATTTGTTTCTTGGTGCCTAGTTGGAATGTTCAACGTTCTCTCCGCGCCCATGCCATAATGATTGTAAGAGGAAATCACACACCCGAATTGCATGCATCCTTTTGCATGACAGAATTGAACACGTTATGGTGTTTAAAGGCTCGAGGCTCGACCCATCCAAAGCCTTGCTGTTTTGAGGATTGTTTTTTGTGACTATGTGGCACATGTGGTTCTTGCCCTCAAAAACATTACCTCAAGGTCTCAAACACACCCTCACTTTCTAGAAAGGCTAGCTTACAATAGCTTGCATATGATTTTGTTCTGACACAAAATTGCCATCCGGATATGGTATTCCTCGGCTTGGATTGGTGCTTCGTTTGCGGTAGAAGGAATCACTCATTGCCTCTAAACTCGGGGACCCAACGAATGCTCAGCCTCCATCCTTAGCACAGGTTGACAACTCGTATGTTAGATTTTGTGTTCCAGCATGGTGACGTACCAACCAGAGATGCGTGGTGGCTTCAGAGAGGTTTTTGATTGTCAACCTTCGACTTGAGATGATTGATCCTGTGGACTGACGAAGACTCTTCAAGTACGTTCAAGTGACTAAACCACCGACCAGGCATGCCATGTAGACTCTTGATTAGTAAACCTTCAACCGGACATGAATGGGAAATCCTAATCATATGTGTTGTTTTGTTTTAATCAAGAGTCTACTACATTATTTCCTTGTACATTCCCAAGAACACTCGGAGTCACTGTGGAGCTGGCACATCCAACCAACACGCAAGCGCGTTCAGGCAAGCGCGTTCAACATCATTTGTGTTTTTGTGTGTATTCACCCCTCACCCCTCAAATGCTAGGATTGACTATGCAACACACTGACTGGGTCATACTGGGTTTGAACAGTTTGTATGCCCCCCACTAAGCTATGTTGAATGTTGGTTGAACTTATCCTATTCTCCGTGTTCTTTTTTGCGACATTTTGCGACCCCTGATGGAAGTAGCACTGGGAGAGTTCCCAGTCACACCTGTGCTGCTGTCGGCTGCTGTAGTGCTGTGCAGTTAGGATGGGTGCTCCGACAAAGAAGAAGACTGACAAATTCTGAAATGCTGGAGGAAAAGACCAAAGACACACTGGGAGGAGAAGGATCAACAAACTCCACCACCAACAACAACATGTTGGAATGACTTTAAACACACTAGGACCCTTCAACAGGTATTTCTTTCAGGCTTAGAAAGGGAACTAACAGGTCAAACCATTCGTGACCTATCAGAGTCCCAGTAGGTTTTGGGACGGGATGGGACGGGTCTTCATACAAAACCCAAATGTGTTCTCACAAGCTGCAATCTTTTGTCCCACTCCAAGTGCTGGAGCTCTTTGAAGATCAACCCGTCCAAACCAGTGAATACCAACAACAACAGCAATAGCAACAACAAATAACAACAACAAACAAACAAAACAAGGACTATATGACAGTGACTTCAACCAAGAAAAAACACCAGTAGACATTCACCAGCCTCTTCACTCAACACCTGGCAGGCAGCAACGACGTGGGCATGCTGGCTTGGAAGCTCACCTTGAAGACCCCCGAGTACCCAGCAGGAATGGAAGTTCACGCCGAGTGTTGACGAGTTCAGTGAATGGAAAGCTGTAAGGCCGTGATCGAGATTGCCGTCCAATTGCTTTTGTTGGTACCAATTAAAGCACATGCTGTTTCTTTGGCTTATTTGTTGTGTTTTTTGTTCATGCTGTTGGAACAGCCAAGGAACTGGGTGGTGAGCTTGTTAGTAGCATACTCAAGTAGACAGTCAAGCCCAGTGACTATAAAAGACAAGTCTTTCCAGCCAAACCAAGACCAAACTACCCTCCTTTGCCTTACCTTGAGGCCCGTTTTCCTTATTCAAATCCATTTTTGGAGCTCTTGGCTGGGGTGATGTCCAACTAACTTCTCTTGGCATGTCAGATCAGCTTTCATGTTGTGTGTGTTTTGAACACAAGGTCCTGCAAACCTTTGTTTTCTCGGTGGACGAAGCAGCCTCATCGGTGGGATCCTGAGTGGCCCTTTGGGATCCTGAGAAACTCTGCCGGAGCACATCCGACCAGAAAGGGTCAACGCCCTTCCGGACCGCATGGAATTCGGGAGACCGAAACACGGAAGAGTTTGCGTGGCCAAAACAGGTTGCCGTTTGATTGGAGAGAAAGGAATTTGCAGCAAGAAGGATTCGATGAAACATATTGAGACAGAGTTTGCTCAATACCATGTTTCCAAAGAATCATGTTCATGCATGCACACCATCCAAAAATATACCAAACTTTATGATCAAAGACGCCTTCATAATGTTTAACAGTTCATCCATGTCTTGAAAGGTGTCAGATCTCCCAGTTGCATAAATGTCCCATGTCCTCTTGTTCCAACCAGTTCCAGTGCATCCTGAGTCATCCCATTGGTTTCAGCAATATTGCTGCAAGTTTGGAGATGGATCAAAACCTGGAGCCCGACCCGTCCACCATGTAGCGACCTTCCACCAGGTAGGTCAACCAAGGTACAGGTGCCATGACCCACGGCCATACATTTGGATACTATAAGTCTATAGCTGGGGTCTGTCCTATTACCTGTAACAGTCAGTAAACAACTATTATATATAATATTATATACTATTTTTGAACAAGGCCTTTACTAACCATCATCATCCACTGTTACAGGTAGCAAAATAGACCCAATCTATAGCCTTCCAGGGAAAGCTCCTTCCACTGTGCCAGACCTCCGCGGCAGACGCTCGTCCGGCTTCGATCGACCTCCGTCCCGCCATCCCGCTTGCTGACCGACCGGGCTCGCGCAGGACGCGAGCTCATTCTCATCGCCAACGACGTGACCTTCCAGGTCTTGTCAACACCCGATTTCGGGCTGGGTAAAGACCCTAGGGCTCCTGGCCCATATATCCTCATGGTTAGACCCCCCTGGAATCCACCCCAACCACCGAACCTCAGGAGGTAGGCCTAGCTGATATTTCAACAACTTCCACAGATTTCACGCAAAAGAGCCTCATGTTGTGGACTGATCAAGTGTCATTTTGGACTGGGTCTCCAACGCCATCTATCCGAAGTGCAGGGCGGAGGAGAGTATAGTTAGTTACAACTTTAATCGAGAGACCCTAAGAAGCATTTCGATGTGTACAATAGACCCACCCTTCGGGCGAGGGACGAGGGATGTCTAGCAACGAGAGAATCTCCAAACAATGTTCTTTCACAATGATCCAATTTCAGCTAGGCCTAAGAATATGACAGCTTATCAGCTATCATTTTGTTTAATGATACATGTATATCTATATTCTTGAATCACTTATGCATATTTATGTGGTATTCTTAGCGCTAACACATGAGCTTTGCTTCCTTCCGGTTCCACCGAAACGAGACCCTTCGTTCTGCTTGCACCGCAGGCGGGCTCCTTTGGCGTGAAAGAAGATCAATTCTTCCAGAAGGCGCCCGAAGGGACCTGAGGATCGGACCCTTCATGTGTTGATTGTACACTCCCGAGTCCACTCACATAGACCCTGACGTCCTGGCCCCCTGGAAGATGGTTTTCCTCTACCAACCAGTGGTTTTCAGGGTCCATGTTAGTCTTCCAGGGTGTAACCTTTTAGTAGTCTAAGTACAGATAACCTGGTAGTCAATACGACGGCAGGTTCTGTTCATGCGACATATCTTGTTCCAAATCACTCTTACAACGACCAAAGTAAGATCGGGTGGAGCTTGGCGGATCATGAAGATAGTCATGAAGATATGACAAAGCAGGGGGGTAAAGGGGGCCGACGCGAACGAGGGGAAGCCGGGAACCGGCGACAAGCGGAGAAGCCGAGAAAGAAATGACCTGACACGAAAAGAAGAGGCCGGAAGCGCAAAGAAGAGACCTAATACGAAAAGGAGAAGACACCTTGAGAACTTCACACTAAAATAAAGAGGAGACTTGACACGAAAAACAAGTTGCGACGATCAAAAGGAGAATTTGGCACTAAAAGAAGACACCTTGAGGAACTCACTTGCAACACTGAGGCTGCAGGACACCTGTCTAGATCAGGAACCAAAAGCAAGCAGCCATCTAGATGAGAAGATCAACTTGGTGGGGGCCCAGCAGCTTGCAGCTCTGCCTTTGCATGCTGAGAGGGTGCAAGTCCTTTTCACACAGTTCTTGTGGCAGAAGCATGGGCCGCAAGTGGAAAAGCTCAAGGTCAACGTCCTTGTCATGACCGCCGATATGGCCCCAAAAATGTGGGCCGGAAGCCAGAGACATGGAGGCTCCAGGTGCTGGCGCGTGACGAAATTGAGAATACCGCTTTGACAGAGATGCTGGCCTTGGCAGCTCACTTCCAATGTGTCATGTTTGCTAGAGCAAACTCTTAGGACCAACCCAACCGCTCAGCAGCAGGTCTTCCCTCGGACAATGCAGAGCCAACACTTCGGCTCACGTCTCCATGCTTCTGCCATGACAAAGCCAGGGCACTGATTGGCGGCGGGTGGTCTTCGCTCTTCGCTCTGGGGTCAACCTAGGCTCCCTTGTTGGGGCCACCGCCCTCCTTTCAGGCTGCCCCCAAGATCTTCTTCTCGCACCGTTCTCCCGTTCTGCTTACAGCAGCTGCCAGGTCAATTGCATGCGTCTTCGTCCACCCTTATGGTCAAAGAACATGAGCTCGGTGGTCGCGCACCTCTTTTGGCTCAGCTGATGCAGGACTTTGCCGCTGAATGGCGGGTCTTCATGACTTGCTCCTAATATTTTTACTTGTGGGGTCCCTGGTTCGTTGTCCTGTCCCACCAGTGTCCTCTCTTGACGGTCTACATCGCTTTCAACTCACGGGCAAACAACCGGCAGAACGTTTAATGGATCCTGGTATTATTGTGCCTGCTGAAGCTTCTGCGCCCGTTCAATTTTCGTGTCTTTGCACCTAGAATGACCATCAAGGATGAACATCGGTATCTTCTACACCGCCAGGGAAACTTCCCCTGTACTCTTTGCAAGCGTCTTTTTACTATGTTACAGGGCGGGGTCTCGCGTCTCATAGGGCACGTCTCGCGAAACTGGTTTTGGTTGTACTTGCTGTCCCCGTGCCTTTCGCTAGTGGCTAGTGCTCTTAGGTTCGCACCGCCGCGTCGACCATGTGCCCGCACGGTTTGTCCGGGTCGTCCGGCCATGTCACCGCATTTTGCTCAGGATCATGAAGTAAAATAGCTATATCTACCCTATGCCGTGTCCGCTGCTTGGTGGTTGGATTTTGGCTAGTGAACTTGTAAGTTAGTTACGAAGGGGCTAGAAGTTGTGTAACAAGCTAAGTTTCTATGTTAAGATGTGGCACTTGCAAGTTAGTTGTCAAAAGTTAGAGATTTCTAAATTCAGTACGTAGATAGGCCAAAATAAGTTACAACTAACTTAGGGAACTTATCTTTTTGTAGATTTAATTCAAGCATTAAATGTCAAAAAGAACTGTACATACTTTGTGTTTTTGCACTTCATTTGAGATGGGACAAAAGCAATCGGCCCAATCTTAGAGGCACACGCATACTCATGCGGTTGGTGGCCTCCATATACATACAGGTTGGCTGGCAGCCCATTGGGCCGCCTCCAGGTTACATATATAATAGAACACATAGGTTGGCTGGCGGCCCAATGGGCCGCCCCCGGGATACATATACTGTCAGGGCCCATGGCTTTGAAGCTTCAAAGGTTTCCTTTTTGGGGGCCGGAAAAGCAGTCCATGCATCAGACGCTTGTCGTCTGAGCTTGCAGTGGTGTCTGCGGTGTTTTGGCTGCAACAAAAGCAAGAGTGCCGATCGCGCACTGGCTCAGCTACTTTTTTTAAAACCATGTCCGATGATGCAGCAGCTGCCGCTCCAGCTGTTCCTGTGCCATCTAGCGCTGTGCGGGTGCCGGGACCAGACCAATTGCCACAATTACGCGCTGCACTTTTGGTTCACAGCCTATAGGCGCAGGCAATACAAGCCTACGTATGCCTGAAATACTGTCAAGGGGTTCTGCAGCAAATCGTAGAGGCACGGAGCAAAATACTGTTAAGACTTTTCCAAATACAGTGAAGAGCTTTTGACGCAAATCGGAAAGGCACGGGGCCAAATACTGCCAAAAAAGTCGCACATGTAACAAAATTATAGAATCAGCAAATGTCTTTGTTATTGAATTTCCGGGTTCTTAACCTTATTTGATCTCCTGCCATTGAGATTACACCTCGGAAGCCTTACCCTTATGTTGCAAGTCCTTCACCTTATTTGATTTCCTGCCATTGGGGTTGCACCCCGCAAGTCCTACCCTTACGTCACCAACCGGGTGCCTTGTTTGATCTCCTGACAATGTGAACAACCCCCGAGTTGTACCCTTAGTTGACAGGGCCTTATACCCTTTTATTGATTTCAATTCAATCATTACAGGGAGATTATTTGTATTGTCGGCTATGGCGGCAGCTTGGCGGCTGCGGGGGTTCGGCGGCTGCCAGTGGATGCGGCGGCTGTGGCGGCTGTAGCAGATGTCCATGCCGCTTTTCGATGTTTGTGCTCTCCAGTGGGAAAAATGTAACCAAATTCACCTGCAGGGTTCCCAACAGTCTAGCATGTGTGGCCTGATTGTCGCTAATTCATTGTCTAGCCAAGCAGCCCTACGAGTCCATCGATGGTTTTGCTTGTCGACGAAGGAATAGAACCATTGACAAGTCTGTTAGAAACCCCATATCCCAAAATCAAAGTTGTTTGTTTCAGTGGAACTTGAGCCGCGCGCAGCTCTCATGCTGTAGAACAAGTGTGTGCAAGTAATTCCTCGCAGAGGGAAAGGCAACATTGATTCAGAGGGGCGCGGGGAGGACGGCCGCATGTGGTTGACATCTCTAGCAGTGTATCTGTTCTGGAGGAGGTATATGCACCTTCTCAGTGTTTATCTCATTGCTCCTTCCTCATGTGGCTCCTTCCTCATATTGTTTCTTACTTGTTCTGCATCTACTTCTCTTTGCTGTTGCTGCAGCAACTCCGGAGCTCAGGTTTTGGGCCTGCTGTTGCGCGCGGCGCAATCGTATTGAGACCATCGTGGGGGACGGAAAAAGGGCTCTTGTTTCGGAGGATCAGCCAGCTTCGCACTTGTGGTTTCGTACAGGGGTGTGGTGTGACCTTGTCAGTGCCACATGTTTTAGCTAGAGGAGTTCATGCAGCCGGCATGCCTCTTCCCAAGACTTTTTTGGCCATCAGATTCAATGCTCATTTCGCATCCATGCAGCCCCTAGAAGCTCTTTGAGGTAAAGTGGCCATGACTCAGCTTCAAGAAGCGAACTGGAACGGTGGACAGCCTGTGGCCCCACATCAAACCAACGTGAGCTAAAGATGCACTACGAATGATATGCGTACATAAAACAAAGTACAATAGATCAAGAGATTTAGATAGATATGATGTATTGCAGCACCATCACAACGGCTCTATGGGGCAGACACGTCTAATTTCTTGTTTTCTATCTCGTCTCATGCCCATGGCCGCCGAAGCTGTGGCCTTGGCAGAGAAGCAAGTGACAGAACTCCGAGTAGCTTTGGCGCAGAACCATAACCAAATACGAAATTGCCAGCAGCAAGCTCGCAGACAAGCGCTCGCCGTGCGCAATGGTGGCCTATCTGTCCAGGCAGGGACAGCTTTGCCTGCAAGGTAAACCAACAAACCCTCACCTCCATGCAGGTGCTTACATGAGTGCTTACCAGAAGTGGCCCATTGGTTTGAGGTGCTTACATGAATGCTTATCAGAACAGAAAGGCTTGTTGCCAGCGCCGAAACTACTAATAATTTTGGCATATCTATCAGTATGCTTGGTTGTTTCGCGCTGTCAACAATTCCTTTTTGCCTACTACAATGGTTCTGGGTTCTTCAGTCATCATTCCTTCCCTATAATTCATGGTGTGTTATAACCAAAAAAACAAAAAACAACAAAAAAACACGAAGAGCCTCCGAACCTCAATGAAGAAGAGCAGGATGACTTATCTCAGCACCACTCACCGAGGGCATCCGAGCCAGACTCATCCTCTTCCTCGTCTTCTACATCTTCGCCAATCCGCAAGCTCCGCGAATCGCGAGCCACCATCCGAGAAGTGCGTGAGGGATTGAGTCTGCTGAGGGAGCCAGTGGCAGTGATTTGCGCAGACTGCGCTAGGGCGGTGGATCATCTCCATGGTCTTTTGGCCAAAGCTTTGGAGTAGATAACTTGAACAATGACTTTATAGCGTCTTCTGGCATCACAACTTTGCAATAATATATCTGGAGTGTAGCAGCAAAGCTTTGCAGTCATATAAACAGCACGTGTCTGGATCTCGCATCAAGGATGATCCAGCAAACTTGGTGATAAAATCCGCTCTGTCCGGCGCTGGCAACAAGCCCCTCCCTATCAGAAGTGGCCCATTGGTTTGAGGTGTAGTGGTGGTTAACTTTGAGTGCATTCTCTTTGTATGGACCAGCAAATGTGCTCAACCCTGCTGAAGAAGAAGAGAGGGTCCGTCTTTGTGTGCAGAATGAACCGAGTGTAAGGGGTATTTATGCAACACCTCTCGGATTGGAGACGGCAAGGCAGGCTGAGATGCGATACAATGTGTAGGTGTCACCGACTGTGCTTGCAACAATCCGCATGACAGAAGATGGCCTCAGGGGGTTTGGGCTTGGTCATTCGCCTTACAGTCCAGCACTACGCAATGATCCTTACTTCTCTGGCACCAACCTCTCATGTTGCATTGCTGCATTTAGCAATGCAGCATTGTGCACATATGGACCAGGAACCTACAAGCTGGACAGAGATGTGGAGCTTGCGGAGAAGGATGACAAGAGGGCGCAAGGCACATACATTGTGTACTCTCCTGAGCATCGTGCCATGAGAGAGTTGCCATTGCAGACTTTGCCAGAGGTGCGAGAGCCGATCAGGGCTTTGTATGCCAATTGTGTGCTGAATCACAATTTGTACCCGATCAGGGGGGCCACAGATGTCAGTCCCAAAAAAACCGTCGCAGGATCGCCTACACAGTCATCCGGCCATTCAGGCCGTTCTACCGCATTTCCTTGTTGCAGCGAAACGCGGCTGCCCAAGAGAGTGGCCAGCGGCTTTGCAGCATTACCGCAGACAAAGTTACGGCTTCTTCGTGCAAAGTCATCCTGGGTGACCACGGACAGCATGATCAGTATTCTGGCAGATGTACGCAAGGGACTTGCGCATTGGCTTCCAATGGTGAAACCAATACTTGTTTTGGACACTGCTTCTCCACATTTACCCAAAAAGGTGATGCCTTTTGCCAAACAACAAGGTTTGCAGCTTCTTTTTGTGCCAGCTTGTAGCACTATGTGACAAAGTTGCATTCCGCTTTGACAAAGTTTATGCAGCGCCCATGTCTTTCCCGCGTTCGGCAAAACCGAGTCCAGCAGAAATGGCTCTCATTTGGCCTACTAAACGCGCAAGATGAGCTACGCAGGTGCATGTTTGTTCTGAACACGCCAAAGGCGTTCAGATCGAGCACTTGACCAGGCTAAAAACGCAAAAAGGAACGGAAAGCAGTCACTGCGACACTGTATAGGTTGGCTGGCGGCCCAGCATATATGTGCACGGCTGGCGGCCCAATGTGAAAGGTCCTTTACCAAAAGTATTTGTCCCAGATTGTTTTGGAAAATGAAACAGTGGGTTAGACGAACACCTTGAATCATTTGAACTACCATAGCTCCACCTGATTTATCTTACGGTTATAATGAAAAGTCTCTTAAAGCTTAAGTTCTCTAAGTACTACTTACAAGTTCCGTAAGTCCTTCAAGTGTGATAACTAAGCTGCAAGTGCCACAAGTAAACCCAACCACCAAGTATGTGTTGCCCAAGATCGCTTTCCGGCACCTGTTATGACTAATCCGCTCACTTTTAAGCGTCACCCTACAGTTGCGCATATGCGAGATTTTCTTATGCAGATATTTGATCCTGGGGTATAGTATGCCACTTGTATCTTGTTGACGCTGCTTGTGCCATCTGCTAACTGGGCTCAAGTTCGCGCCATGCCCGCTTCTGAACCTTGAGGACGCTCGCGCGAACTCGAGCGAGTGAAGAAGGCGGGCCGCAAAGTGCAGGAGCGGTTTGACTCCTTAGATTAGACTGTGGCAGACATTGCTGGGCAGACTGCTGCTGACGTGTCTAGCCTCCGCGCTGAGCTCCAAGTTGTATTTTTCATCCACGGTGCCGCTCTCCAGAAGCTCCTTGCCGAGTTGGACGCATACAACCGAGAGCGAGGCTGTTAAGAGTCTGCTTGCTTTCGACAGCAGTTAGGCTATCGCTATAGTCTTGGCAATGCCACCAAAATCCCGTCAGACGGACGGCCATGGATTCTGCTCTGCACGTTCCAGGCCTCGGAATCGGGCAGATCTTGCCGTTCGTTGGCTGTGGCAGGCACCGGCTTTGGACTAAGCTTGGCGACAGGTCTTGGCCAGAAGTTGGGTTCAAGGCAGGCGTGGCCCGCACCAGCCGCAAGGTTCTGGCTGTGGTCGATCATGCGGGTTATGCCGGCCATCCAGCTCGATCCGCCTGCTTGGTTTCACCTCAACCACCTCCATTAGAGCATCCAAGCAACGTCACGCGCCAGGACTAAGGAAGGCCCCAACCAGGAGGTACTTCTTGAAGCCCACAAATCCTCTTCCGGATCCTTGGACAGTGTCATGTGCTGTCCAAAGTCACCTGAAACCCAGTCCCTGTACAAACGATAAAGCCGGATAGAAGATACAAAACTGATTAAAAACCAAAACTTAACCAAAGCCTTGTAACATACGAGGGGGTGGGAAAGCATCAAGGCATTGTCACATTACCCCCAAACAGCGGGGTAAAAAACCTCACACCCGCGGGCCACCATCTGTGCCATCCACAACTACTGATAATACAAAGGAACATGGAACTGAGGCGACACCGTCTCGTACCCGAAGATATTCACGAAAGCACTCCGAACACCAGCGCCCAGGGAGAGCCAGCACCCGTCCCAAAGCACCCTCCTCGCAGCAGACCGGAACCCACTTGAAAGCAGGGGCCTGGACGAGACCAGAACCCCGCGCCCGGACGAAGCCGGAGCGCACTGGATGCAGCATTCAGCAGTACAAACAGCCATAAGGTAAAAATTGTCCCCAAAGTTACCCAATCATAGCCAAGGCACAACGACGGGCATTGAGCCACTCATGAAGGCCTGAAGATTACAGCAAGTGAAGAGCAGGAAAACATGACTGAAGAATCTGTTGTTCAATCGTTTACAGAAATAGCAGGGTCGGCAGCATCTGTGCTCGCAGCTTCTGTGCTCGCAATCACCTTCGCAGCGTCACTGCTTCTACAAAGCGTCGCAGTGTCGGGCAGTCACTCGGCCCCCTTTCGCCCTGCACTGGAATGTAAAAATGTCTCTACAGAGGATCGGAGCATTGGATTTTTGGGGATGTGGAGCTGTGGGCAAATTGCCTATGTTCCACTGGTGTAGGTCAAAGATGGGTTCGGCATTCTTATGCAAGCGCCACGGTCCGGTTATGATGTGGATCCCTATAGGGATTTCTGTCACCTTGATGCTTTGTTGAAAAGAATCGTTTAGGACTCAGGTTTGTCCATTTTTTGTGGGTTGAACTCCTGGACTCCTTCAGTCCCAGATGGGCTGGAAAGCAATGGACGAACCCAGTCACCTGCAAAACGCCCTGACAATGTTCAGGCCCTTGAAAGACATTCCTTTTGTTTTTCGGTTCCACGTGCTCCCTTCACATGTCACTGATCACTGTCGATTTGCACGGACCTCGGACCTCGGGACCTCTCTCCGCCGCAAACTGATGTGGCATCGACTCCCCATGAGGCCTCGGAACTGGCGCGCGTGCGTGGCCTGCCGCGGATCTACGTCTCCTGCAACAGTGGCGCCGAGCTCGGGGGGAGTAGGGGCTCCAGGGCCTATCCTTTTCTCAAAAAGAAATGTTCAAGAAGCAAACAAAAAAGTCAATCCAGACGCCATCGTCGTGGTGTTTAGATGGTGCAAACATGTGCAAATCTGTTTTTTTGGTGGAGGGTTGCAGTCTTCATTTTGGAAACAGAAGTCAATCCTGTGGGCACGTAGGATCACAGGTCGGTAGGAAAACACCACTGTGGAGTTCATGTGGGAAGGTTTTCCTTAGGCTGACTGGTTGATTTCACTCTGTCAAGCATCGTCCTCAAGATTCCGTGTCCCTCACCATCCATGCAATCCACCCCTCTTCAAGCACCTCAACTGCTGGGTCAAGTTGCCCCCATGGTTCTTGCCTTTCGGTTGTGTTTGCCCGACCCAACGTATGCTTATAGTCTTTTTGATTTTCGGCTGGATGTTTATATTCCCAAACCGAGTGAATCCCCCGGCAAAATGGTTTTACTATGTTTTGCGTTCTTCCCGGTTCCCGGTTCCTGGCAGCAAATCCAACGTATGGAATCTACGATGACCTGCCACGGGGCCGAGCCAAACACGTCGTCCCCGAGAGGAGTGGGCTTTTGTAAAACTTAGCAATCACTGTGTGTGTGTAGCAACAGGGAACCCTGAAGAGCGCCAGGAATAGGCAAAGGATAGAGCGATACCCAAACCGATACCAAATGATACCTAGCCACCTCCCTATGTCATGTGTGGAACCCCAACTCACCAACGCTACTAGTGATGCAAAAGAGCTTAAGTCAAAGGCCTTTGCAAGTTGTTGAAACAATGGCTTACACGTTGTAGCTTCTAAGAGGAACCACAAAGAATCCTAAGGTTTGAGAGAGATTGTGGGGTTCTTTGTTTGTTGATTTAGGAGTGTATGGAGCGATAGGGAACCTTGAAGAGCAATACCGTGGCAGACCGTTGCAGACACGGGGTGGGATGCAGTTGGCACTAAGATTGCCAAACAGGAAGTCATTGTTTGTTTGCCTTTTGATGTAAGATTTGGATAGATTTGGTTCCCATCACCGCTTTGGACTGGTCGGGTTCTGCTCTTGCTCAGACGTTCAGGAATCATGATGATTCTTCATGCACTTTATATGGGCTCATAATTACGATGTTCAGGTACATTTCAGGTACATGTTCCATCCTGATCCATCATGTTCCATGCCCGTTTGGATGAATCCATCCACCCGACGTTTAGGGGGTCGATGTGACATCGACGCTTGGCAGACGCTGCATACAGGTGCCCGTGTGGGCTTGGTCGAAGAGCTGAAGCCTCTCTACAAGGCCGTCGCTATGGGTCGATCTGAGCTGGGACGTTCGTTGCTAGGTTGAGCGAACGCAAGGCAACATAAGGCAAACAAATTGTAGGGGTTAGATAAGTTAGATAAGATGATATAACAACCGCCGGAACAAAGGTGAAGAAGGCTAACTTGTCCAGTCCCATGGAGTGTTTGAGATTGGAAGGTCATGAAGCTTATGAACGCCCATCCTGAAACAGTTCAACTCGCTTTTGGGATGATGCTCAAGTCACAATGATGTTCCCTAGGGCTCCAACTACCTGCTGAGAAGGTGGCTGGTTGGGGTGGGTTTGGGGAGGGATATGGTTAGAGCATGGTTGGAGCCCTAGGGATTGTGTTTGACAAGCTTCTTTTGTAACCAGCCCAGTTTCCGCTGAACGACACACTATGCTTGCTTGAGCGCCGGCCCAAGCCGGCGGAAATGCTCTTGATCAACGTCATAGCAGCAGCAATGCACGAGTACGCCCATTGGCTCGTGTCATCCTACCAAGTCTAAGTCAGTGGATGACCTGCAAACGCCTGCAAAACTGCTTTGGTGACAAAAGCAAACCAAAAATTGGATTTCCCATGGTTTCACCCCCTGTTGTTCTTCGTTTCACCCCCTGTTGTTCTTCCCACCCAACCAACCACCAGCGAGCCGAGCCGACCAAAAGGGGCCCCCCACCTCCGTTGTTTCGGCCCGGCGCCTCTTGCGCTCGGAGGTGCAGTGGATCGATGCAGCCGACTGCGGCAAAGGCGGTGCAGAGCGCGGCGGGCTGCGTGGGACATGCACCGACTCAAGAGAAAACGACACCCTGGAAGACGATCCCATGGACTCGACCCTGAAAAAACACTGGTTGGTAGAGGACAACACTCTTTGCAGGGGGACTCCCGGACGTCAGGGTCTATGTGAGTGGACTCGGGAGTGTAAGGACGTTTGGGAGAGCTAGTGGCCCAGAGGCTGAAGGGACATGGAGAGATGGAGAGAATCTGGAATTGGATCCAGGAAAACTCCCGAGATGGGAAGCTGTGGTGGGCAGAGTTCCATGCAGAAAGCATGAACCCACACAAGTTGGTGGAACTTAGTGACGACTTAGTGGTTTGCCTGTACTGTATGTTCTTGAGTCCATGTTCCGAACCTTTTCAGGGGGTCGTTTCCTGAAAGGTCTCCCAGGTGAGGTCCCAGGAGTTGTTGGGCAGTTGAACGGCAGTTGTATCTATCTAGCGCGGTTTGCGAGCCAGTGCAACTTGCATCTTTTAAGTAATAGAGGCCTATAGCCTTATATTAGTTTCGGCGGGTAATTTTTATTTTGGATGCAGTTTCGTTTTTCCGTAGCCATTTTGGCTCAAGATGTTTGACTTTGACACTTTATCAGAAGAGAGCATTTCTGGCCCGAGTCCTGGAGGAGACATTGGGACAGACTTGATTCCTCATCTTCCTCCACGTGAGGGTGAGATTGCCTTGTCTGAAGGCACCATGGCAATGGATTTAGCTGCCGAAACCCAAGCGGTCGCCCAAGCCAACCACCAGGCTGCCCAGGCAGCACAAGCAGCGGCTGCAGCACTCGCGAATCATGCCCCGATACAGAATGCACCTGCACCTGAAGTGGTGGCACCGCCACTAGCAACATTCCCTGTTGCCCCAAACCCACAGGCTACACCACCAATCGGCCAGCCAACACAGACCCCCACCACTGTCGCTGATCTCTATGCCAAATGGGCCTTGGAAAATCCTGGCGACTTGGTCCCTGTCACGATCGACATGAATGCGATTCCGCCTGCTGGATGGGACATCCTAACTCGTTGTTGGGGGTATCCTGGGCGGCAAATTGATGAAGACCGAGGGGTTTGTTCTCTACCGCCCCAAAGACCTCCAAGAAGCAATGGTCATGGCATCAGGGATAGATCATATGCTGCGAGTAGTCACATCAAAACTCAAGCACGTGGTCATGAATGGCTTTTTTGCATTGGGGTTCTGCTTTGCAGGCACGGACCCTATGTACTGCGGCATTGCGGAGAGAGAATATCGTCTGGCACCTGGCCATTACGCCGCCCATCAATATTTTCCAGATGTGCCATATCTCCGATCCTTGATCATCAATCCGTGGCATTTTGTCACACCTCTGCCAAATCGAGACCAACTCATCATCCGTTACGGCAACCAGGTCCGATCGCATGCAACACTAATCACGAAATATCGGGAGACGATCACAGCACGACGGGATGAAGTCTCACGGCGAGCTGCCAACCCAGCCAAGTATGATGACAATTTGAGGGCGTTCGCAGATCATACAGAGAATGAACTATCCAGGGTCAATAATGAGACCACCCCTGACCTTGGGACCTATGAGCTGCCAGACATTTGGGTGTGCCTCGACAAGTCTAGGATCCCCCTGGTCCGATTTGATGTGCCAGTTGGCCGCATCTTGGAGGAGGTTGAGAAAAGAAGGCCGGCTGACTCGACTGCACACAACATTCAAGGCCTTTCATCAGCAGGGACCCCGCCTGTGCCCACGGAGTCAGGCGTCCTCATGGCAAGCGCACCGGCCGCGGAGTCAGATCTTCAGCCTGGGACCCGGCCAGCTGGCGTTCCAGAGCATATCCACAATTACATCATTCAGAAGATTGGACACAGACCCCGCATAGAGCTCCGCGGCAGTGATGCCAATCAGGCTACAAGTCTGATTGATGGTGCAGTGCTTAGCGCCGGATTGGAATGGGACAGGTCATATGAGCTGAACCTACAGGCATGTGGGTACCAGCAGGAGGAGACCTTCCACCACAACCCCATTCCATGGCCTGGCCGCCAATCGGAGCCAGGGACTGGGACAGAGCGAACTGAGTCTACTCAGAATCCTGACCAGTTCCCTATCAATGAGGTTTTTTTGCAACAGATGAAACAGATCCTGGTCAGTAGTGGAAAGTATTCCAGCTCCGACATCGACACACTTCCACTTGGTGAACTGGTCAGGCTGATGGCCGCTGAGGAAAGCATCATAGGGAGGCATCGAGACTGCTCTAGTCTCATTGCCAATGGATTCGACCCAACGATCATCCAGAGGCTGACAGAAATCTCAAACCAGAACATGAGTCTCCTTACAAATCAGCACATCCAGCAGGCAATGATCCAGGACATGAGGGCCAGTTCTGCTGCTACAACGGCACAAGTTGGGTATGTGGCTCAGGCCGTCAATGAGCAAGGGCAAACATTGACACAAGTAGCCCACACTACAGCTGCTTCTGCAAACACTCTGGGCACTGTGACTGATCAGCTGACAGGGGTGAATGCTCAGCTGAGCCAATCGGCGTCACTCATAAATCGGGTGATCACAACAGTCCAAACTGGCGCCCTCAGCAGGTTCAATCAGGAGCAGCCCCAGATAACATACTTGCAGACACAAGCCCAAGGTCAGGCTCTAGCACAAGGTGGTCAATGCCAGGCAGGTCCCCCTGGTATGGCACCTACCACCCCTATGGTGTCTCAGCAAGGGGTGGCAGCAGCTGCGGTAGCACCTGGGCAAACAGTCCAGACAGGCTTTCCCACTGACCCCCGTTCAGTCAGCCTTTCCCAGCAACCAGGAACAGTGGAGCATCGCGCTATGAGGTTCCCACATGGGACCTGGCGTTACAAACTGCACGCAGCCATGGCGAGCAGGGCCTGTCTCCCGGATGTCAGGATTAAGTGTTCCAAGTGTTCAAGGCCAGCATGTCCAATGATCGGGGCAGGCAACTCAGTCTATGTGACATGCTGCAAGGATTGCGCCTTATCCAACGGCAAACGTCACACGAGGAAGTGTAACGAGTACATCAGTGGCCCTGACGTATTGCCTGAGTACATGGTCGATCCTCCCCATCTTGCCAACGTCGACCTTCCTACTGGGACATTACCGCCAGAAAGGCCAGTCGTGCAAGGACAGGGGGTGGTTCAAGCAGCAAACCCTGCTCTTGGACAGTTCGGATGTCAGGCGGCACCTTGCCAGTGCGTCCAGCAGCAACCGCCACAGCAGCCAATGCCAGTTGCTCAAAACCCATTGACCCCACCACAGGGGCTACCGACTGCACCAACTTTTGGCCAGCCACCCGCCACACCACAACCGGCTCCTTCCAACCAGGTTGGCGGTCAACCGCCTTTGGCGTCTGCTGCTGGTACGCCCTGGATGACACCTCCATTCCAGGGAAGCATTGCGCAAGGCAGTCTGGCTGTGCCAGGTGTAGGCTATGGAGGCCTTCCACCGGCACCTGTCCAGGCAAATCCAGGATCGCTTCAAGGCCAATGTTCAAACCAGGCACCGGGAGGAATGACCAATCCATTTGGCATAACTTCCGCCCCCCCGGCGAATCAGCCGCCACCACAACCAGCTGCACAAACAGGGCCTGCCACTTCACTGGCGGATGCCATCAGGAATCAGACCCAGAATGCGCAAGGAGGAGGCCAGTCCCCTCTCATGTTCCCGAACCAGGCAAATATTGGCCAGGGCAACCAGGCACCAGCACCTGTATCCCACCCGGCTGGCACGCCACCAGGTGTGCCGGTCAACACGGCACAGCCTGCGCAGATTGGTCTCCCTGCCAATCTCTTCGCGCAAATGTTGGGTGCCGCGAGTAGTCAACCAGAAGCAATCACAGGTGTCATGCGAGCATTTCGCCCCACCTGATGACATGGTTCAAAGCCAAGTCAGCACAGAACGCCTATAGACCCCTGAAACCCATCCATCTATGGTTGGTCACACAGGCGTCTGGCATCTTTTGAAATGCAGTTCTTCGAATCGAATGGCACAGAGATTCTGGAGGACTGGAGGCAGGTGCGGCTATAGGCCTGCCTTTTTTCCAGTTGGATCCTTTGGATGCAGTGGCGGATAGGCACACGTGGGTGCCACCTGCCCGCCATAGACAAAGCAGTTTCGTTTTGTGGAGAGTGGAGCATGTGTACTAACTGGGATCCCCATTTGAATGAATCCGCCGGTATGGGGAAGATGTTCAACGTTTTCCCGGAAACCGAAATCAGCAAATGCAAGGCAAATTGTCCTTTTTGTTGGTCCATGTGCTTTCTGTTTGTTGATAAGGTCCCGCTCTGGCCTCCCAAGAGACTTATCGCGACAGCTGCGGGCGTGTTAGAATGAATACCAGTATATGAATTCCCAGACCATTCATGGGACTGGAATAGTATATATTTCTCTATATTTATATCAACAAAAATGCACCAACTGATCGGCAAATATTTCAGTCCTATGGATTGTTGGAGATACAGCTGTATCATTTGTGTGGAAGAGATCTTGTGAAGCTTGAGAGATCATCGGGCTTGACCTCGTGTCTTTTTTTGGAGGGTGGTGCACATGATTGTGAGTTGTAACATGGTTTCAATATGTTTCAATTGCACTAAAAACATACCCCGGCCTTTCATTGCATTTGGCCCTCGTGCAAATTTTTGGATTGAGTGTATTGGTGTGTGGTGAGAAAGCAACCAGCAGTCCCCAAGGTGATGTATTACACGGGGTTCGTACGTGTGAACATTAAACACTACGCGGGCCCCTGTTCAATCGCCGGGTTCACACAGTTGAACTTAGAGGTTCAACATCTCACCAGCCTGGCTCGTGCATAGACCAAGGCAACGGCTCGCATCCTTGCAGGCCCCGTACACAACAACCAACAAAAGCATCTGGAGAGCCAAGAAATCCAGGTGCGCTTTGGATCGGTTTGGATCCACTCACTTCAGCCGGTCCCTACTGCTAGGCTTTGAGTACCTCTACTTGCTGAAGGCCGACTACGAGAAGTTGCCCCCCGGAAGTGTGGAGGCGGACGCCGGACGCGCCGCGCGGCGGAGCGGTGGGGTCCGTGGGGGCGACGCCGCCCAGTGCGGCGCGACCGTCGACGGTGCCTGGCAGATTGGCCGATGAGTTGGGGTTGAAGTCGAGGAGACAAACGAATGTTTAATCTGTCAAGGATGGGAAATGACATGGAGTGGAGCTGGGATGGGATATGCCGATACGTGCAAGGAACACTGGAACCGACGAAGATTCTCGAAGGAACCATGTGACAGTGTGTTATGTTGTTTTCCCTTGTCGAGGTTGCAATCGTTCCTCCATCGGTTGAATCATCGGTGATGTTTGTTGCATCTCAAAACGATACCAGGGTGCAAAGATTCTGGTGGCCCAGGGTGCGAGGATTTGGACCACCATGGCCCGAGGGTTTACCAACCCTCCACATGACTGGAAGAATTATACCAGTACAATTACCACTTCAATAACATCTTAATATCACCCCAACTGATCCGGACCCCTTCCATCCCCTTCCCATAGATTGTATGGCATTGCACTGCATTACCTTCATGATCCTTCATGATCATCAAATATCATAAAGATAGAACTGTATAAAACTGTTTGATGGAACATTTAGTTAAGCCTGGCTGTAGACTGTTGTACATTTGGGAATATGAACTACGATAGATCTTTCTGCCACGGACTCCGTCAAATTGGAATAGGATCCCTAGATTGAGCTCTGAAACCCTTCTTGATGTCCGAGCAAAAAGGGGGGTGGCGAACCGTTTCTTATCCCCTCGCCAAGCCCTTTGACCCATCTAGATTGTGCAGAAACTGCCTCCCCCAGTTCCTGAAATTGTTGGGGAGGCGGGGACCAGGAGTTCCAACAGCACCGTGTCCCATTTAAACATTCATTTGACCAAACGGTCAAACGACTTCGATAACTGTTTGCCGCTGAAGAGTCAAATCGCAAGCCTTGTGAAGCATCACGGGTTTTTTCCAGCCAAACCAAAGACTCCACTCCTTCTTCCACCAAAAATATCCCCTCAAATCCTCTAAGAAAAAGCCGCTGCATTGGGCACCCACCGATTCGCCCGGTTCGCCCGGTTCGCCCCCCCGCTTCGACCCGATCGCCAGGTGCACAAGATCGCCGGGCCCAGCGGGGAGGAGCGCTTCGTTTTGGACGCCATCATCGGAGAGGGCATGAAGAGCACCAAGCCCGGTCCCAGGGACGCGCGGGAAGCAGCGCGAAGCGGCGCGCGGCAGGAAGCGGGCTTGGGGTTTTGGGGGATGTTTTGGGGTGGGTAGGAAGAGGGGGGGTGAAAAAGCGGGAAGAGTGATGGAGAACAGGGATGCTGGGGGAGAATTGGGATACTCCAAGGCATAGACCCTACCTGGGAGTGGTTGAAGGGTCAATGGAGCTTGGAAAATGCGCTCACCATCCTGCCACCTGCAGCGGTTGTCAGAGGCTAAGCCCGAGACGCGGTTTGGTTCACCACTCCTACTGGGTCTTGAAGGGGCAGACAGCGCAAGTGTTCAGGACATCCGAGGAGTTCGGAAGTAGACCAGCACTCCCGAAGCTTTCATCATAGAGACTCTTGGAGGTCTTTCAATCCTCTTTTTCGAAAGCACAGGTTGGTGGTTGTCATTTTGGGGGACCTCCCTGAGGTAGTCGAATGGCACGGTCGAACTGTGTTGAGATTTTCTCGAGTTGAGAGATGGGTCATCACAGTTGGTGCTTCCCACGTCGATCGTTTGATGTTTCATCAGCTGCTATTGGTTCAATGTTCTGGGATTCTGGTTGACCTCCAAGACTGAAGCCATCCAGGCAGCCATCCAACTCACTCACCCACCCAACCCTCCAAGCTGGATTCTGGTAGGTAACTTGTTTGTCACCGCCCAACTCACATCAAACCCATGAAAAATGAACCAAACATGAACCAAAACATGATTGTCGTCCCTTCACCGAACTCGGTGCGTTGACCCGAGTCACCGACCGAGGGGTGGCATCGGAGTGGAGAACTTGCAGGGCAGCGGCTTGATCGCTGGCGAGACCAGCCGTGCCTATCAGGAGAGATGCGGGGCCGGGGTTAGGCGTTAGGGCTTGAGGGGGGTGGAGGGGGTAGCAGATGGATGTGATGGATGTTTGGTTTGGAGTGGCAGAGAGAAAAGAGGGCTGGTTGGTTCCTTACCAGGAACTGCAGGTATGTCGAACCATTGGTGTTTTCTCACTCTTCCTACCACAGCCAAACTGAAAGCTTTTGAAATCCAGTGATCGTCAAGAAAAGAAACAATTGCCAATTCTCAGCCTTCAACATCCTTCAACTACATCCTCAGCAGATAGTTGGACCCCCCATTCATCTTACTTGGTCCTGCTCCTAGTCCTTGCAGCCCCGCCACCATGATCTTCCTGAACACCACCAGCTGGTGCGCAACAAAACGAACATTCTTTCCTATCTTCCCAGACCATGGAATAGTTGCATACATTTACCTAATTGATGCCAAAGCTGTGTAACTCTTCCGGTTTCATGGATGGTTTGGCTTCGCCGAGATGCTTACCTCCTGTTTTTCCACCATGCTGGGATGGGTCATGGCACCTGGAGCTTACCTCCTGGTGCAGTCCGGCCGCGAAGGACCTGAAATCGGGGAGGTCAACCCTAAACCCTAAACCCTAACCAGGTCTCCTGGTGTCCAGATCCACAGCCATCTCCCAGGACACCTTCACCTTGTCCTATATCACCGGTCGATCGGTGGGCATCGGTGCCTACCTGAACCGCCTGGGCCAGCGGAACATCCAGATGGCGCGGTCCGGGGGGCATCTGGGAGCAAGTGGATGTGACCAGATATATACCTCAAGCATCGTCAAGATCACTCAAAATCGATGTGGGGAATAGTCAAAATCCTTAGAAAAAGAACACTCAAAATTAGATACCTCAGGACACACCAGACTTCTCACTCTGTGTGTGTGTGTGTCAAACCCTGTCCCTAAGGGCTTTCCACCTTGAAATCGTGTTTCTAAGCAGGGGGCTCACGGGTTTGTTCCTGGCGTGAGCCAACGAAGCTCCAGGTTCAGACTAGGATATCGAAAGAGGACGCTCTTTCGACGTACCTGCGCTTAACTTTTGACCAAGCTCTTCCAATCCTCCTTTTTTGATTCCATTGGTGGTTCATGATACCTTCCCTTAAACCTTTCTTTTCCTTTGCCGCTTTCTCATGCAGCTGAGTCGTGCAGATGCTCGCCACCGCAGATCTGTCAACAGACTGCTCAAACAAAACAAGTGCGCGGACCTTTTCACCTTGCCGTTCTCTCACCTTCTTTCCACCTGGGAATTGAGTTAACCGAAAACCAATGTCAGAGTGTGAACCGCTCAGCCGTCCCACTTGGGTGCTGGGTGTGATCCTCCGCAAGGAGGCGCCGTTCTCATTCCGGAATTCGTGTAACCGATTCTTCGTTTCCACCATTCGATCTGGGCAAATTAAGGCGAGCTCACCTGACGAGGTACGAGGTAGAATAATTTCAAAACGAAAATAAGCGAGGTAAGTCCAGCAACAGCAGCAGCACAAAGGGTTTGAGCTTGTAAGGGCCACTGCTGGGCGTAGCTTCCAGGAGCTACAGGGACTCCACTCACCATGCCACACAGAAGCCCCAAGAATACCAAAAACAAAAAACAACCTATTTTTAAGAAATAGGCCCGATTTTTGTCTCAAGCATGCTTGAAGGGATTGGGGCTTGTAGAGGCCACTGCTGGGTGTAGTTTCCAGGAGCTACAGGGGGTCCACTCACCATGCCACACAGAAGCCCCCAAAAATACCAAAAACCAAAAAACAATTGTTAAGAAATAGGCCTGATGTTATTTTCGGTGTTTTAAGTTGAAGGGAACCGGCAAGGGAAAGAGCCAACAGAATACTACCAGAGGGGGATTTGAAGGGATAACCTTTCGATTCCGAAAAGCGTGGTTATCCGACCGGGCTAAACTGACACTTCTCATGAGGGCAATGCCCAAACCACACAGACAAGAAGACCATGCAGAGAAGCCCCAAGAAAACCAAAAAAATAAAAAAAAACAACCTATTTTTTCAGAAATAGGCCCGATTTTTGTCCCAAGCATGCTTGAAGGGATTGGGGCTTAGCATCCAGGAGCTACAGGGGATCCACTCACCACGCCACGCAGAAGCCCCAAAAACACCAAAAACAAAAAAAACAACCTCTGTTTAAGAAATAGGCCCGATTTTTGTCCCAAGCATGCTTGAAGGGATTGGGCCTTGTAGAGGCCACTGCTGGGTGTAGTTTCCAGGAGCTACAGGGGATCCACTCACCACGCCACACAGAAGCCTCAAGAATACCAAAAGCAGAAAGCAACCTATTTTTAAGAAATAGGCCCGATTTTTGTCTCAAGCATGCTTGAAGGGATTGGGGCTTGTAGAGGCCACTGGTGGGTGTAGTTTCCAGGAGCTACAGGGATTCTTCCACCCACCATGCAGGGCAGAGAGCCCCAAGAATCCCAAAGGCTTCAAACAACCTATTGTCAAGAAATAAGCCCGATTACTAGTTGGCACGTGCAGGAAGCCATGGAAGGCATTCAGGCCCCCACACCAAATGCAGACGAGGTGAACGAAATTATTGAAATTAAACGAGGCGAGGTGAATAATTTCAAAACATGAAATTAAGACGAGGTACGAGGTGAACGAAATTCAACTAATTTATAAATCACTCAGATTCGATGGATTTTCTTAGCGGACTCTTTTTCACCACTGGATCAACTGCTTTACGAGCCGCCGGGCTTATACGGTCTGAATTCACTGAATCTCCATTACTTGCAGCTTGCCTTTGACTTTCAAGCTTGTACAGTTGACCTGCCACAGCAACGGCAGCAGCTGAGGAACTAGTCCGGCTATACGTCCAAAAAGGGCACGATTCCACCGAATGCCGGCGCTGTCTACGAAAAAACTGTTGCCATGCGGATTCCTCCACGCACGTGCGCCGATATCGGCCACGTGTGTGTGTGTGTGTGTGTGTGTCAAACCCTGTCCCTAAGGGCTTTCCACCTTGAAATCGTGTTTCTAAGCAGGGGGCTCACGGGTCTGTTCCTGGCGTGAGCCAACGAAGCTCCA